GGGGGGACACAGATGCACCCGGTTTGGAAGGTTTTGAAAAGGATAGGAGGGGGGAGAAGGGTAGGGAGCTGTGCTGCGTCAAAGACTTGCCGGGTCAACTGTCTGAATGCTCCGCCTCGGCGCGAGGCGTCCAATGCGGGGTTCGAATCTCACTCGCACAAAATCCTCCACAAGGAGTCCAGGACCCGCGCTCCCACGTTCCTTCTGCAGTGAACAGACACCCCGGCAGCAGGCCTACCCACGCGCTTCCCGCTGCTTGTCTGACCACCTCAGACTTTCAGACTCCTGACCAGCTGAACTCGGCCTTCCTGTCTTTATCCAATGTCTCCTCCCACACCATCAGAGACAAGAACCGCACAGCTCGCGAGTCGTGTGCGACCTGGTCTGTCTGGTCCAATTCTGTTCCATTTCAAATATACAAATCGCCTCCGCCATCACCGCTTCTTCCAAAACATCAACCGCTTCCACCGACTCTCCCCAGCCTCCGGCCGCTCGACCGGCCGGAACTGGCGCGTGAGAAGGTTGAACGTCGACCCGAAAAAGAGTGCCATCAGCGTCGACGTCATCGTAATGACGTTGTACGGCATGCTAAAGTCCGGCGTTGGGAGACTGATGAGAAGGGTCTCCGTGAACATCCGTTTCGATTTGCCGTCAGGGGAACGTGGGGACTCGGGAAAGGTGATCACGGCCGAGCTGTGCGCGCGCGGGGGGAAGATAGGGAAACGGGCTGTTAACTTCGGCTGAAGCGTTCGTGATCCTCCTATCTCTACGCGCCGTGTCCCATCCGCCTTTCGCTGCGACATATACCCAACATCGAAGCCACGGTTCGCGTCTGGCGGATGCTCCGTATACTTGATAAAGGCCTTATCAAACTCGATCGATACCGTCACGACTGATGCTGGGGGGAGCACCATCGACATCTCAAGGACCGTAGGGCGAAGCCGGTCTATTCCCGGTTGGAAGTAAACATTCTGCACGATCTCTATAGGGACACAATCAAGGCGTTTAGACGAGACGAATAAGGAGATAAATAAAGGCACGAGGGGCTAGTAACCAGACGTACCTGTCGAGTTATCGGACGTATCGATCGTGAGCGTGTGCAGGTACACCTTAAGAATCCAAGGGACACTCTCGAAATATGTTACCGGGAGCGCCGAAGTGGGGTGGAAGTTGCGAAAGTCGACGGCTAGTCCCCCGCGCTCTTGGCCGTATCCTTTAATGGAATTGAAACCCGAAGCGATTTAGCATCAAGAGGTAACACTGCCAGCCGCGAAAACTACTCACTCTATAGAACACTACGCCGCGCTCACCGGTGAGGAACCGGTGCACCTTGAGGAAAGACGTCTCCCGATCGATACCTGCCATTGAGGATCTCTCGGTCAGAGCTTCAGCCATGTCGGAGTGAAAGAAAAGGAAAACTATCTTCTTTACCAAAGTGAACAGCCGGGTCAGCCCACGAAACTCCTAATTGCGCGCCGACGAAGCCTTCTGTAAGAGAGGGGCGCCGAGGTCAATATCTAACGATGAGGGTGGCTCTCCTTCTTGCGAAGCCTAGTATCCACTTACCCGCTGCGAGGTCGTACGATGCCGTCTTAGTCTTCCCGTTGTCGCTCACGGCTTCAGATAAGGGCTGAAGGGCCCATTGCGACGCGGGCTCCCTTGGCACAGTTATGTGGACGCTGCTTGACCTCGCAAGGGGGCAGCGACCGTCCAACCCTCGGTTGAAGATACCCTCGAGGGACCAGTCTGTGAACAAAAAGTCAATATCAACCGTAACTCCGTACGCGGAACGATCGCGTAGTACGTCAGCGTTAGAGACGAGAACACGAACCTTTCCGGTTCTCGAAGCGAATCGGATCAAGAACGACCGCGAGGGTCTGCTGAAACTCGATCTGCCGGGTTAAGCAACTAGAGTCCTAAAATGGCGTTTGAGTAAATACCCGTAGCAATTAGACACAGGAGGCACCCATTTAGAGGAATTTCGAGTCCCTATGCCCACAGCGTGTGAACTCACCTACCTCGCATATGGGCCGAATATGCGTCCCCATGGAATGGAAATTACTATCGTACAGCTTGTACGCATTAAATAGACTCGCGATTCCGGCCTATTAGTTCAGCGATCTGGGGGTAAGCAGCCGGCGACGCGCAATCGAGAGAAAGTAAAGGTCCCGATGGATTCAAACCTTCGATTGACAGGGCAGCAGTTTAGCCCACGGCGTCAGATTTTCGGTACACACGGCTTCGCGTGGAAGGGATCCGTACCGCAGCTGAAAACCGTCGGTTGCTGAAGTTTGAAGTGGAGCTGAGTTATGGCGACAGTCCCTCTGCTTAAGACTGCTACACTCCCTCCCCCTAACGGATTCGGCTGATACGCGACATACCTTGCTTACTAAAGCTCCGCTCTAGCCCTCCATGATTCCCTTCCGCGTCAAACGACATGAGAGGCTCGGCGGTGTTAGACTGGTCGATGAAGTTAAGAGAGGCGCAAAAAAGCCCGGACAAGGCATTTGTAAGACCCTTCCATTTTGCGTCAATGCTGCAGGTCACGGAACGTCAGCGTCGATTCGTGTTTCGACATATCCGCCCCGAACCACCGTTTCCCCCGGGAGACCGAACCTCCTCACACCCCCCGCGCCCTCCCTTCACATTATTCCTCTCCCAGCCCACCTGGTCGCATTGAACCAGCTCCAAAGCTGAACTCCGCTCGCGGCGCTCACGGGCGAGTATCCCCAACGATCGTAGTTCCACCGACCCTGGGTGAACGTTAGATGGAGCTCCTCGACCCCAAACGAGTGGATGAGTTCGCCTATCGGTCGAGGGAGGAGCGAGTAGTGGTTCGCTAGGAGGGAAGGACGGAGGTTGGGGCATCATGTGTTTGCTGAGAGTCTATGTCAAGCGCGATCCCAACACCACCTCGAGTAGCGTTTGGGATATAAGGCGAGAAGAAGGCTACTCGGGCTTTGAGGGCAGAAAAGTACCTTGTGCCCTCGCCCAGGCAGCGGGACCCAGACGTCGAGTGAAGTTGAAGACGGCGAGGATCTTGCCGTCGGGAAACTGGGTGAGGGACAGGTCTTCGTCGAAGAGCTCGTCGGCCGGGAAGGCAGCGGTGGAAGCAGTTGCATCAGATGTTGCGAAGAAAAGAAGCAGGGCATACACGAGGAGGCGGGCCGCGCGCGGGGAACGCATTGTGGACAGAGGGACGACAGGCGGGTGGACAGGGAAGGAAATGGGGAGCAGGTTGAGCCAGATCATCAGAGCGAGCGGCGCCGCGTTCGAATTGCGCGCGCCTCCTTTGCGGAGTGCGGATGTGGCCTTGCGTGAACAAAGACTTTGCGTTCATAGAACACTTCTTTTCCACCACCCTCGTCAGAAAATGCCCCCTTCGCAGCAGGAGAGGGAGGTTGAGGAAGAAGAGGACTATCTCTCTGATGCCTTCCTGCTCAAGGCCACAGAACCTCCCGTCGCACCTCAGCCTAGGACGTACTCGCAACGCCGGAAGCACATTCTTGACACTCAAAAAGAGAGAAGCTACGTGAAGCCTCTCAAAGAGAAAGGTGTGGGAGCGTGCGGGAGAGAACAGGCAGCCGTGCGGGCGGAGAGGCTGGACTTGGCGAGTCTGGCACCATGGAGCCTTTGGGGGTCCACCGAAAGGTCCGAGATCGGGACCGGGCTGGTTGCCACTGGCGGAAATCTTGCCGGTTTCTCACTGACCGTTTTTACCTCCACCCTTACGTGCTGCTCCAGAGCGGGAGGTCAGAGAACAGGGGCTCAAAACCCACCTCCCCGAAGACAACATCGGGTTCAAGATGCTGCAAAAGATGGGGTTCAAGTACGTCCATCCCCCCCACAGTTCATTTCTTATCGCCGCAGAGAAACCCGCCATTGACGTTGCCCCCCATGCAGGAAAGGCGCAGCGCTAGGCTCAAGCACGAACCCGGCCCCAGCAACCGCCCCAATCCCGATCGTCATCCGCGAGAAGCGCCTGGGCCTTGGCCTCGCCGAGCACTCCGAGGAAACCTCTAAGCGGCAGCGCGACGCAGAGGAGGAGCGACGCATCGAAGGCGAGCTCGAGAGCCAGCGCGCGGATTTCCGGGAGCAGATGAATCGCCGTTTCGAGGAAAAGCGCGCCCGCGGGGAGGTGCGCAAGATGCGGCTCGTGTGCGAGACCATGGACGTCGCGAGGGGCATCGAGAGGCATCCGTTCTGGCTCCCGGAGCGAAAGCCTGGAGCGGAGGAGGAGGAAGAGGACGAGGAGATCGAGGTTACCGAGGATCTGGCAGAGGATGATTTCGAGGCACAAGAGGTGAGCTCCGCTTTGCTTCGCGTCTTTGTTCTTCGCTAGCCCCACTCTCCCCCCCTCCCCCCCTATACGAACAAAATCTGCATACCATCCCTTCGCCATGTCGCCCCTCCGTGATATTCGAGCTGCCCCTCCGCACCCACCCCCACCCCTCCTTCCCCAGCCCGCCGAACAACTGAAGCTCGTCAACGCATACTTACGCAACAAGTTACTCTACTGCTTTTATTGTGGGTCCGTTTATGAGTCGGAGAGGGCCCTATTGGAGATTTGTCCAGGGGATACGCGAGATGATCATGAATAGTCAAGGCTGGCTTATATTGCTGTGCAGGTGCGGGGACGGGGACAGCGCAGAACAAATCGTGTTTCGGCTTCTGTAATGTTACTGGTGCAAATAGGAATCTTGCACTGTTCCCGGCCGTCCGCATCACGTCGCCTTACCAAGCTCCCCTCTCCCGTCTTGAACCCCGTTATGCATAAACAACACTCCAATTCTCCTCTGGTTCTTATCGCCAAACTTATGCCACCGTTTTTATTTCCGACATGCCTGTCAACGAGTCTGGATCCATGGTGAATAGTTTCAAGGGAATAAAAGTTCTACCCAGATCCATGGAGAAGATGGATGTTCCTCATGAATATTGACTCTCAACTGGACAGCCGCTAATTGTCAGACTATGTATTACTACACGACCCCCATATACATGGTTGTATAGTGTAGTGGTTAGCACGTCAGACTTTGAATCTGAAGACCCGAGTTCAAACCTCGGTACGACCTTCTCTAACAAGAAGAAGTGTACGACTGTCGTGTTGAAGAATCTGCTGTTCGCACTGCTAATTGCTGACTCGTTTGATAATATCTCCTACTTGCATTTTTGTCTTTGCCTCTGGGATCATTCCCCCAATTCGACTGAGGACGACTGACGATGACCAATGCTCCACCAACTGCCTGTGTTCTACACTAACCAACCTAACGAACATGTCCCAATGAATTACACACCGCAAACACAGCATCGTCATCGGTTTATATTCTGCGTGTCATGCCCATCAACACTTCTGTCATTCTCGTCTTCATCACTGTCCCCATATTCCCCCAACCACTGCAAGCCTCCGAGGCCGGATGAGGTCCCAGTTGACCCTTGAGTCTTCGGCGCAGCCGCGACCCTCGGGAGCGTCTGCGCTCTCTGCGCGATGATCGATAAAAATTGCAGGGTCTGAGCCGAAAGCAACCCTCCCTGGGGTGCGGAGGGCGGGATGGCCGCGGGGACGATCGGCGGCGAAGGCTGGCGGAGGGGAGCGGGGGACGATGCATGAGCCGGAAGGGAGTTACGCGGCACCTTCACCGCGCGGTCGGTGTCGTAGTAACCCTCGTAGTCTGCGACGGTGCCTTCCTCGCCGACGATAGGGAGCCGGGAGACCACCGCATTGGTGACCATCGCTTCCGCTTTGCGTTTAAGCGATTCCTGGGCTGAGATGTGGGGGCCGCAGGACCGGGTATGAGTACGATGTAGATAGTTGAAGGAGTAAATGTGGCGAGAGGAAAAGATCGGGCGGACATACCTCTGGGATTCGGATCCTCCGTCGCCCAACGAACGTTCAGTATCTCCCCGTGGTCTAGGGCCTGTCCCGCCATCGCCTCCTTTGCAAACTCGGCATTCGATCTTCTACGGTAGGAGACGAACGAAACACATCGCGGCTCCATCGTCCGAACTAGGAGTTGGCGTTTAGTCTCGAGGTTAGGGTGTTGAAGATACGACCGGCGAATGGGTCAAGTGACAGCACTCACCAGACTGCAGCTCCCCCCATTCCGCGAAATGCTTCCGCACGACAGCGTCCATATTCTGAGGCGATTGAATCCGCCCGACATAGAGCGTCTTGTTTTCCTTCTCAAACGACCCTACCCCGTCCATATCCTCCCGCTCATCGCGGAACCGCTCGCGCCCGAAACAGTCTCGCTCGTTCTGCTCTGCGTCCGCGGCAGTCGGTATTCGGTGGAGAAACTGCAGTTACGGGACGAATGGGAGGATGGGGAGGTACGGCCATGAGAGTCTGGCCGCGAGTTGTAAAGCGAAGAAGTGAAGCGGATGGAGGGAGGTGCGCACCTGGCAATCAGGGCCCTTGTTACAACACCCGCGCGCAAAGGGGAGGCAAAAGGGAGCATGCGGGGAGGCCTTCGTCTTGCCGCTATCGCGCGACGGGACGCACCGAGACGTGGCCTTTTCGAGTCTGGAAGGTGGTGTCGGTCAAGTCCGCTCAACTCTGTGCCGCTTTGAAAGCGCGACCTGTGCTTCGCCCCGCCTCGGACAATGTCTACCCCGCTGCCAGCAACCCCAACCACAAAAGACATTGCCCCTCCTTCAAGTACTCACGTCCTGGAGTTGGTTCGCTCCCCCTCATACTTGCCGTACCAGATGTTGTAAGTTCCAGCCGGCTTGTCGGAGCCCCTCTGTGGGCCAAGGGGCTTGGAGACTTGACGGCGGGCGGGTCTGTCTGCGTAGTCTGCCATTGATCTGATCTTGTCTGAGAGCGGAAAGAAAAGGAGATGTAACTGATTTTCGGAGCCCAGGACGACGCGCGTCTCGATGACAGAATCTCCTTCCTCCCAGCTGCCCCTCCAGCACTTTTCGCTCCCCATCGTCCCCGCGAATGATTACCGTGGCCTCCACTCTGCGTCGGTCCGCAGCCCGGCCCCTTCCTACGCCCCTCGTCCACGGTTTCGGTGAGTTCCCGTCTTGCCCCACCTGGACTTTAAAGAGGTGGTCGTTGGAACGGCCAATCCTTACCTGTGTTGCTCCATGCCTCTCCTCACGACAGCGACCAGGAGCCAGTATGTGCCCCCAAAAACACCCCTTGTGGTGCATACGGTCGCAGAGTACCGGGCCATCCGCGAGCAGTGGTTCAGGGAGGGGCTGACGGTCGGGTTCGTGCCGACCATGGGGGCGCTCCATGAAGGACATCTCAGTTTGGGTGAGTTGCTGGTGATGGTGGAGTCGCGTAGGACGTTTTGATTGGTGTTGAGATGAAGCGGCCTGCGGGAGGTTTTGAGAGTCGTCAACACCTCGAGATAGGGACTGAATTTGCGATCCGTCTCGGACCTCCTCCCGGCCTTCCAGCCCACCTTGCCCGTGCAAAGTGCGACCGAGTCGTCTCCAGCATCTTCGTCAACCCCGCGCAGTTCTCCCCCACCGAAGATCTCAACCAATATCCCCGCACGCTCCCGGAGGACCTCGCGCTCCTCTCATCCGCCTCGACAGACGTCGCGTTCGTCCCGTCCGTCTCGGAGATTTACCCAGCGGGGATCACGCTGAACGTCTCTGAGCAAGTGGGGACATTCGTCGAGGTCCGGGGCAAGTCGCACCAGATGGAGGGTGCGATCCGGCCGCACTTTTTCCGCGGCGTCGCGACGGTCGTGACGAAGCTGCTGAACGTCACGCAGCCAACGCACGCCTTCTTCGGACAGAAGGACGGCCAGCAGTGCGCCGTGCTGCGATCCATGGTCCGCGACCTGCTCGTGCCGACGGAGCTCGTCGTCGGCGCAACCGTGCGCGAACCCGACGGGCTCGCGATGAGCTCGCGGAACAGGTACCTCACCCCCGGGGACCGCAGCGCCGCCCCCGTCCTCTACGCTGCGCTCGAGGCCGCGCAGCATGCGTTCAACGCGGGGACGAAGGACCGCCGCTCGCTCCTTGACATCGCGAACGGCGTCATCGCTAAGCAGCCGGGGGTCGAGCTTCAATATCTGAGCCTCGCTAACGCGTTCTCGCTGAACGAGGAGGAGGTTGTTGGGCCTGATGGTGCGATCCTTTCCGGAGCCCTGCTCGTCGGAAAGACCAGGATCATTGATAATGTGCTGCTCGGACTTTCCACCGAGACTTGGGCCCGGTGATTGGACGCTGCTTTGTAACTTAGAGCATGGACTTATCACTCACTTCAACCGAAAGACTACATTTGATACCGGACATGCACTAACACTTCATCCATGCGGAGATGCCCTGTGCCGGCGCAGACAAACTTGGAAGGCCGCCTGTTTCGCGGGAGGCATGGAAGGTGGTGCTTCAAGCAGTACTTACCGCACCACCGAGGGCTTGTGGGCCATGGCCCGGCCTATTTCGACGCCAAGTGCAAGCAAGTGCCTTTCGAGGTCAGCCTATCACACACTCTACGAGAGTGGATGGCTGGATGGCTGCTTCACTGACTCATAACAGTGATGGTTGATTGAATTAGACAGAACTGCTGGTGCGAACGAGAAACCCCCCGTGCTGCCGTGCATGCGTCGAAGAAACAGCATTTGATGACGATCAAAAGGAAGGCCAAGAAAAATGAGAGGTCCCATCCGTCCACCTTATGACCAGTTTTCTCCTGATAACTTTTTTTTGCCAAGTTTCATGAATCATCCAACAGGAGGAGCTTGAACTGACCCGTCGCGTCCCCGACGGCGATGGAGCGGACTTTTGGTCGCGTGTGGTGGTGGGATTGGGAGCAGGAAGCTGGGCGGGTGTTGGAGCGGGGGGCGGCGCGGGAGCAGACATTTGAGGCGACGTTGTTGCGACGGATGAGTGAGCAAGGGGGTAGTGGGTTCAGTCGACGCGAGGCTTTCCAGCGGACTGATTCCTTCCAACATCCCATCCATTGGAGAGCTGCGCCGTGGCGCTTGAGCCGCGCGACTTCTGCTGGGCGCACACCGAGTCTGATCCCGAATCCCTTGGTCCCCCCTGAGTGCCGCTGGCCATTTAAGACCGCCACCACATCACGGGGCTGGACTTCAAAAATGCGGTCAAGCGGAGAGACGCTTGGTGTGGGAGGGGCGGAAGAACATGAGGGACGTGGGGGGGAGGGGGGGGCGAGAATTTGGGGTTTCGAGTCAAAACACCGTTTTCCGACAGGTGGCAGACTGCAGCTTACCGACTATGACGGAATTGCTGCAAGAGCTCGACAGGAGGGTGCCAATCGCCCTTGATAGATCACTCCCTCCAAAGTCGACTTTCACTTCATCAACGACTGCTCTCTCTGTGAGTATACTAGGAATACCAGCTCCCGGACACGAGTGTGTAGTGACTTATTAGCACGTTAGTATTGCTCTACAGGGATCGCACCTGTGACCTTGGCGTTATTAGCACCACGCTCTGACCAACTGAGCTAAGCGAGCTTCTCACGACGGCGGGTATCATTATTATTTAAAAATGCGACTTGACTTTCGTTCGCATAGACTGTTCCAGTTGCCCAGCATTACCTTTTCGTTGGTCGCCGCCCCACACTTCGCCAAAGAACACTCACCGTTGTCAGCATCGAAAATCGTGCCATTTCCTTCACGGTCGGACTCGGATCACGTCGCCACACCGACTCGTCTCTGATTCCTCTCTGCCTGTGCATCATCCGTGATAATCAACTCACAATGAGACATGTTGTGAGGAACCGAGCTTGTTAACAGCTTGGGGATAACGCTCTGGAAAGGAGGCGCGTCGGGAGAAACGGGCCGAGGACGTTTCCTTTCCAGAGCCTTTTCCTCTCGAGGCGGAAATGCAGAACGAGACCTTTGAAGGAAGGCTTAGGGCGGGCCCCGACCTTGCCTGTCGACCCCTCCAGACCGAGGCCTGACAAACGATGGATGCTGCGCCGTGGCGTCAGCCGTGGCGCTGAAGTCGAATGGAAGCTTCAGAAAAGGGAAAGCTGCCTGACGCCCAGCGCCTCCCCAGGGTGCTGGAAGTAAAGTTCCAGAACCGCTGATTCGGTCACAGACCCACACTTTCGGTCATTGGACCCGATTTCCGAGTTCGCGGA